AAGGGGAGATGGGGAGAGAAAAGTGAGAAGGGGAGGATGAAAAGAGCTTGGGGGAATAGGATGGTTGGGAAGAAGGAAGGGTGGATATGGGAACAGGAAAGTATATATCTTAATTAAGGGAGCCATCTTAGGGTTGGCAAGAGACTTGATTCTAGAGGCGTTCCCAGGTGTCCAGAGAGATGTCCCCAGCTAGTTACTTGGGCAGTTGTGGAGAGGGAGCCTGAAATAACCCTATCCTATAGCCATACTGATGAATATCTTGCATATCACCATAGAACCTTCATCTGGCGATGGATGGAGATAGAGACAGAGACCCACATTGGAGCACCAGACTGAGCTCCCAAGATCCAAATGAGGAGCAGAAGCAGGGAGAACATGAGCAAGGAAGTCAGGACCACGAGCGGTGCACCCACCCACAGAGACAGTGGGGCTGATCTATTGGGAGCTCACCAAGACCAGCTGGACTGGGACTGAAAAAGCATGGGATAAAACTGGACTCTTCTGAACATGGCGGACAATGAGGCCTGATGAGAAGCCAAGGACAATGGCACTGGGTTTTGATTCTATTGCATGTACTGGCTTTGTGGGAGCCTAGTCTGTTTGGATGCTCACCTTCCTTGACCTGGATGGAAAGGGGAGGACCTTGGACTTCCCACAGGGCAGGGAACTCTGACTGCTCTTTGGACTGGAGGGGGAGGGGAAGGGGAGTGGGGGGAGAGGGAGGGAAATGGGAGGAGGGGAGGAGGCGGAAATTTTTAATAAAAAGTAATTAAATAAATAAATAAGAAAGAAAGAAATGCAAACCAAAACTTCTTAAAAAGCAGATCTAAGTATTAAAGGAGAATGAATGTCAGAGACCTTATTTGAAAAAAAAAAAATGATTCAAAAGCAACAGTTCCAGGTGTAAGTGAAGCTGAAGCTTTCTTATCATTTTTGCATCACTTTTCCCCAAGTCCAACTTTTTATAACTTTCCTGAGAATGTTTTGTTCCCAGAAAGTATGTGCTTAGAACTTCTTAAGCAACTAAATGAGGTTAGGGATAATCTAAACCTATGCATCTAAAACTAAATCACACCACGCCTTATTATGACAAGTCATTGGAAGTAAGAAGAAATCATAAGTAGACCATGGATACTTGTTTTGGATTTGCACATCCCAGGTTTTGGTTGTTGTTGTTTTGGTTTTTCATTTGCCCTTTGATGACTCAGCAATATTCAGCTAAATGAAAAAGATGGCTTCACTGAATTCTCTTCAATGTGGAGTTAACATTTGACATTGCAACTGACCGATATCCTTCTGAAGTTCGTGGAGAGCCTTTAGGAATCCAAGAAAGGGGGGTGGGGTGGGAGGTGGCACTTACACTGCTATGGTTATAAGAAACATATAGCTAGATTTGACCACCAAATAGCCCGCATAGCACACCCAGATGTTGAGTGTGTAATTCATGAGAAACAGAGCGCCGGAGATGAGAGCTGAGAAGACCGCCAGACCCAGCTCTCCTAGGAGATCCCAGTTGACCTTGACGTAGCCCACGACGAAGGCAGCCAAAGCTCCTGGAAACAGACCCAGACAAAGAAGTCAAGCTTTGCAGGAAGAAAATAGCGACACAGCAAACAAGCCAGCAAAACTCAGCTCTTGAACAATCCTAAAGGTGATGAATGTACTGTTGTTTTTTTAAAGGACTTTTTTTTTTTCCAAGAAGGTTTTCTTCTTTTATCACCTGCTGTTGTTTCCAACCTCTTCACTCCTATACTTTAATTAGTATCGTTGACATATCAGGCACACACTAGGCAAAAGGGACAAAAGTGCCTAAACACAGCAGTGTGAGGAACACAGTGGCCCTGTCATTTAAAAAACACCCAGGAGAGCAAGCCTGTAAATGTCTTCAAAGTAAAGTTGCTCTACTGTTCTAAACTGTATGTTTTCAAGTGATGGATGTCCCAGTTTTCTTTCTTCTTTTTTTCTTCCTGTCTTTTTTCCTTCCTCCTTTCATCCATCTTTCCTTCCCTCTCTCCTTCCCTTCCTTCCTAGACCTAGGGGACCTTTTAGAGGTCTCCCTGTATTGCCCTTAATAAACTCCTGGGCTCATGTAATCCTTCTGCTACAGCTGACCTGATTTTCTTAAGGCTTTGGACAAAAAAAACCTGAACTGATATACAGGGTTTGAAAAGGTGAAGAATTGCCTGTAATCAGTCATTTCTTGAAAAGGTCTCTTGAACTGAACAAAATGTATTTAGGGCTCAAATTATTGATAACTGGTCAACCACTTTTTTTTTCCCATAGGTGATCTGCAATAGAAGAGCTCTTCCAGAGAATTTTGTCTGTAAGAGCAAAAATTTCTATGATCTAATTCTGGTATTGCTTTGGCTTTCAGGAGTTAGCTGCAGCCTCCCCAGAGGGAAACAATAATAAATCAGAGGCTCCGTGCATTCCCGAAGCTTTCCTTAGAGGAAGGTGTGGAAATATCCCACTTCCTGTAACACATCTTCAAAGTCTTAGGTAACATTTACGTTTCCACTGACAAGTATATAAATATTTATGGAGAGTGTGCTTCAAAGGCAAATGTCTGTTTGATATTAGAATCCAAGTCTAGCAACACAGAAACTGCATGAAAAAGCCACTTGTGAAAATTGTTTGTGTGTAACCTAGAGTTGTGAGGGTCCCTAAGAAGACTCTCCACGTAAGATCCTGAAAACCTTCATGTATTTTCCAGAGTTGATAATAAAAATTCTACACTTTCTTTTAATATTGAAAACTGACTTGAAGCCGGGTGGTGGTGGCGCACGCCTTTAATCCCAGCACTCAGGAGGAGGAGGAGGCAGGCGGATCTCTGTGAGTTTGAGGCCAGCCTGGTCTAGAAGAGCTAGTTCCAGGACAGGAACCAAAAACCATGGAGAAACCCTGTCTTGAAAATCAAAAAAAAAAAAAAAAAAAATACACCTGACTTGATTCTACTAACTCAGGAAATAAGGGCAATGGTCAACAAAGGGGACCATGTGAGATTCTGTAGGGTGGAGGGAATCAGTCAAATGAAGAGGATACCTATAGAATGGGAAGAAAGTCTTTGCTATCATACAACAGAGGATCCATGTCTACAACACCTGCATCCAAAACTCTAAACAGGAAATCAAACAACGGGGAAGGCAAATGAAAAGGAAGGGCACAGAGGTGCAGGAGGACGTGTGCCCAACGTACAATACATGCTTGTATACAAGTTTAAAAAGACCAAAACAAAGAACTGGCTTAGCTTAGTCAGTAACGTCCTTTCTTTGCAAGCACGAAGACCTGAGTTTGAGTACCAGAACCCACAAAGTTGGGCATGGGAGTGGATTGTATTCGCAGCGATGGGGAGGCAGAGACAAATGGAGCCCTGGAGCAAACAGGTCAGACAGTTTGGCCTGTTTGGTGAGCTACAGACCAATGAGAAACCCTGCTTTAAAAGAAAAAAAAAAAAGAATAAGATTGATGGCATCCAAAGGATGATACTTAAAGTTTTCCTCTGGTGTTCACATGTACCTGCATGTGCACATGCACATGTGTACACACACACACACCAAGAAGATAAAGAATAGAAGTTATGTTGATGCCACTCATCTTTAAACTAAGAATAAAACAAATCATCAAACTTTACAACACATGAACGTAATACTGAAGGAACGGAGCACATTACCAATGTTTATTTTAATAATGAAATGGATTATGGATTCTACTAGAAAGACATTCCTTGGTTCTAAGCTTTACACTCTGGAGTTATTTATAACTGCAACATATAGCATAAAAAGTCACTGTGCTCTTATTTTTTTAGTGCCTTCTTTCCTTGGATGGGGAGATGGCTTAGTGGGTAAGAGGTCTCTGTTATGGAAGCATGAGGACCTGAGTTCAAATCCCTAGAACACCTGTAAAAAGTTGGATTGCATTGTGCATGTGTGCATTCCCAGTGCTGCAGGGAGTGGAGACAGCTGGATCACTGGGGCTTTCTGGCCACTAGTCTAGCTCTGGGGTCAGCAAGAGACCCTGTTTGAGGGGACAGCTGATGTCCTCCTCTCTCTTCCGTGCACATACAGCCATGCACACATCTACCCCCTGCCCCTGACTTAAAAGAAATGACTCTACTTTCTGAATATAGCTAATTAATCACCAAGGAGAAGCTCAGCATCTGGAACGATACCCTTCAGAGGGTAGCACGGGAGGAAAGACTTGTCTACTTACCTCCAAAGGTTGCAGCAGCTTCCACTGCTCCATTATAGATAGAAGAGTCTTGGGAGGGTGCCTTGTGTTCCCATAAGACTTGAACATAGTTTAGGATTTGGTTATAGCCTGACGTAGCAAAAGCCCACCACAGGGACCAGTAAAACAGGTGCTTTGAGGAGTAGCACTCCTTCAGATCTTCGAACCAATGCACAAAGACCCTCAAAGTCACATTTTCTGGTTCTGGGTTGCTCAGCTTTCTGTCCCCTGGCTTCCCTGAAGTGGCAGGCAATTCTGGGCGAGCTGTCTTGTGGTTCTTCTGAGCTTCCTTCAGGACAGTATCTTGTCCCAGTGGCTTTTGATGGGCTTCTCTGTCATACGTCGTATGGAAAAACATGCTCTTCTTAGGCATTGGTAGAAAAAGTGAGAAAATGAATGCCCCAGAGACACAGGCCAAGGATATGTAAAAAAGGTAAGAGTATGGTACAGTTGCCAGGGATACCAGGAGCTGGGCCAACACCGAGCCCATTGTGTAGGCCACCAGGGTGACACTCCGACAGTAGCTGCTCACTTTCTGGTAGTGCTCTGGGCTGACCATACTGTATATGTAGGAATAGTAGCCAATCTCCGTGGCTGAGACGACCCCAAAAAAGAACTCGGCCACCTGCATGAGCATCACACCTTGGCCAAACAAGAGAATCAGGTAGCAGATGACGAAGGCCACGATGTGTAACATGATGACCGGCTTGTAGCGCAGGTAATCGGTGAGGACGAACACGGGGGGCAGCATGGCCAGGTAGGAGTATGTCCAAACTGGAAGGACCTCGTTTGTCATCTGTGGAGTTGATATGTAGGGGTGACTCCAAAGCACAGCATATCTCATAGGGACGTGGGGTAGATTTGTACCTCAAAGTCACATCTAATCAGATATTCATTGTATTACGGAAAAAAAGTAATAGAAAAACTGATCTATAGGTAAATTGCTAAGAAAAAATAATGTCCTTGCTAAATGAAAACAACAACAATAACAACAACAACAACAACAACAACAACAAAAATAACCAGCATGGGGTTATGGGGGAATGGTAAAGAAAAAGAAAAGCAAACCAAAACTCTGAGCAGCTTACATACGCAGGGGTATCCCAGTAGAAGGGTTCTATTGAGATAACATGTCCTCTGGACTATATAAGAAATTTAAGTATAAGTAGCATGTAACGGTTGAATAAATGAGTTTTAAGGATTTCAAGTTCAGTTTAAACTTAAATATTCCGAACTCCTCAGATTTCCAAGTTCTTAAAAAATCCCAGTCTTCAGAGTGAGTTCAAGGATAGCCCAGGCTTCATAGAGAAACCCTGCCTCACAAAAACCAAAGCAAACCAAACCAAAACCCAGTCTAGGAGGTTGGAGAGATAGTCCAGTTAAGAGCACTGACTGCTCTGCCAGAGGACCTGAGATCAACGCCTAACACCCACAAGGCAGATCACAGCTGTCTGTAACTCCAGCCGTCGGGGGATCAGACACAGTCATAGAGACATACATGCAGGCAATACACCAATGCACATGAAATAAATAAATGAATAAATTTAGAAGTTATTTATCTACTTGTATGCAAAGATGAGCAATGTCAGGTGCAGAGTTCACAATGTAAAGAGTAGAACAGCTGATCCTTACCACCCTCCTCCTGTAGGAAATCTGGGTGGACACACAGGGTTGGTAGCGAGAGCAAAGGGTCTCATCAAATTACCAGGTGGGGAACAGGTAACGCATTTCATTTCCTTCCTGTTTGTATTTGCTGGTCTCTCTAGCTCCTCTCACCCTATCCATGACTATAGATTTGTCAAGTTTGATATGGGTCATATCACACATGAGCACTCAAGTTTCATAGGCAGGAAGGGTTCGAAAGATTGCTAGTGATCTCTAAATGTGATGGGTGAGAGTCCAGTCTTTTGAGTCACTGAACTTGCCCTCACTGACATCTGGATCCCCCAAGGTCTCGGAGGGGCCAGAACTGCCCTTCGGTTATGGAGGAGAATTAGTTCACTTTTCCATAGTGTATACAGAGGCAAGCCTGGAGGAGGGGTTCAGTTAATTCTGGCCCATCTCTGTGACCTTGGTTTTAAGTGTGACATGCTTCTGTCCCAGAAACTTTGAAGCCATTGTGTTTTACACAATGAACTTGGCTTCTGCCTTTGCCAGTTCCTTACTGATAACCAGTACCAATCAACTTTGCCAGCTTCTTACTGATAACCAGTACCAATCAGCTTTGCCAGCTCCTTACTGATAACCAGTACCAATCAGCTTTGCCAGTTCCTTATTGATAACCAGAACCAATCAGCTTTGCCAGCTCCTTACTGATAACCAGTACCAATCAACTTTCTCAACAATACCACACTCCACACAGTATTTTCACGGTTGTGGTGGGAGACGGTAAACCAGCCTAGGATGATTTGCTAGTTGGGTTGGTATTTTCTTCTTGCAGCTTTTAGACAGAAAGAAAGAAATGAAGGGAGGACTATTGTCCTGGCTAAACTGGAACATGCTCTGCCTTGAGGCCACAGAAGTTCACCTGCCTTTGCGTCCAGAGTGCTGGGATTAAAGGCTTGTGCCACCACGTCCAGTAAGAAGCATCTCTTTAAGTAAGAAAATTTGGCCTTCCAGGAAGAGAAGTGGATCAGGAAATTAAATCTGCTTATATCGTATTTGCTGCTAAGTGGTTTTTCCAAGCTGAGTAAGTGCCACAAAGGAATACAGTCAGGTGTTGCCGATAGGCTTTGAAAACATGTATTTGGCCAATTTGTTCTGTGCAAAGCTTATAGAGAATGCTTCCAGAAACTTAGATGTTATAACCCACTGTACAGACCAGCTATCTGGTGTATAGCAGTCTAGTGCTCTTAGGAACTTCATAAATAAGACACAAGGTTAACTTAATCACGGAGGAATACGATGTAATCAAAAGATATAGAAACCACAGGATGCATGGGCTGATGCTGGGGTAGAATGGTACTTTCATTTTTGCTAAGCAGGAATAGACCTTAAGACAACGGCAAATGTATCAGTGAATGCATTGACAGTAACACCCATTTAGCATCATTATCAAGGTTTACCCTGCATATTACATATAAATATGTGTTGTATTCTTCTGGCTCACAGAGCAGTAATCTTGTTTACACTGGTGTTGCATAAACACAGACATAAAAGTTTAGGTGTGATTTTTCAACTGGCTGCAGTGTTATTAAAGCGACAGGAATTCTCTGGGATGTTATGGTTTTTAGCTACAGTTAAGACAACTATAGTTATAATCATGGGGGCGCCATTGCCTATGCGGTGCACCTTCCTCTGAGCATCGTCACGTGACAGGCATATTACACTTTCTTTTTCCATCCTGCTTGAAGCAGCCTATCGGTTTCTCAGAAGCAATCCCGAGGAGGAGAACAGCTTCATTTCGGGGTGAGTGTAACAGAACCAATGGAGATCAAGGAAGCTCCTGTGTACTCAGACTAACTTTGACACTCTGAAAATTAAAACACTCTTCATCCATGTGAAGTGTTTGCTTAATGTTTTTGCAAGTGTGAGGAGGAAAGAGCAGTTCTATTATGTAATAAATTCTGTGAGAATGGAGCTCCCTGAAAATTCAAAGCCTTTATCTTTCTGTAAGTTGAATGATACCCCTTCCTCCTTGTTTAAGTCACATGAAATTAACCCCTCTCAAGATACATACCCATTAGCTTACCTCTGTTTCAGTTAGATTCTTACTGGGATCAGACAAAAATGGGATTAAGAATGATTCGGAGGGCCTGAACATCGAGAAAAATCCAAATAAGCAGAGTATCACAGTGGGATAGACCCAAGAGTTGCTTGATGGAGTTCTGAAGCAATTCATGGCTGGTCAAACAGAAAGAAAGCAGAAGTTTAGCCTCGTTTATCCTGCTCTGGCATCTCGGATAGCACCGAAAGCTGGTTATTTCCACACATTTTATGAAAAAAAAAAAAAACCTGATGTTTGTCCATCCACTGTGAAGCTGGAAAAGGGAGGGGTGAATTACTTTTCACACATTTTTTTGGTGGAATGCTCTTTTTCTTTCCAGAGGGTTCCCTTTTCACTGTTGCCAGAAGGAATTGGGTTTCTTTAGTGTTTTTTCAAACTATGGCTATGGGCAGCTACTAATAACCCATGAGCACTGAGTCAGTACATGCTTGATCCTAAGCCAGACACCAGCTAACGAATCTGTCGAGCTGTAGTAGGGCAAGTGCTTCCAGATGAACAGACGGGATTAATCAAGCCTTCTGATATCTGCACACGACACTTCCCATGGATCTGAGAACTCTTAACACATGGACTGACATTCGTTTATTATAAATTCATCTTTCCACCGGACTGTCCCTTGTCTGGAATCCTACTTGTTGCACAATAAACAGCTGAAATATCTGTTAGGTTTCCCATCCTTGAAGAAGTTCTAGTTCTTCAGTTAGAAGAATCGGTTGGGAGATATTTGGATGGCTCAGCCAAGCCCAATGGTCTGAGTTTGATCTGTTTACCCTCCCTCTTCTCTTTGAGACAGGGTTTCACTGTGTGGTCCTGACTGTCCGGGAACTCACTCTGTAGACCAAACTGGCCTCGAACTTAGAAATCCATCTGCCTCCCAAATGCTGGAATTAAAGGCGTGTGCCACTAAGTTGCATGTGATGGCAAACATCTGTAGCCCCGAAACTCTTACCCTACGAAGGGAAGCAGACAAAGAGAACTGCCCAGGAGCTCACAGGCCAGCAAACCTGTAGCACACAGGACGAGAAACAAAGGGAGACCCAGCCCTAGCAAGGTGGAAGTCCAGAACAATCTCCAGAGAGTTAGCCTCTGAACTCTAGACTCTGCAAGTGCAACATGGCACGCACGTGTCCGCCCCCACCCCAACCCATGCTAATAATAAATAAAAGAAATGTTTCAGATAATTAATTAGATAAAGGTCCAACTTTCTAAAGCGCCCTCATATCTCCACCCCCACCCTATGTTTTCCACTGGCGCCAGTAATATCTGAAAATGGGAGGTGTGGCTTCTTCTTTTTTTCTTACCAAGACAGGGTTTCTCTGTCGCTTTGGAGCCTGTCCTGGAACTAACTCTTGTAGACCAGGCTGGCCTCGAACTCACAGAGATCCGCCTGCCTTTGCCTCCTGAGTGCAGGGATTAAAGGCGTGCGCCACCACCGCCCGGCAAGGTGGGACTTCTAAGACAATCACTCCACTTTTTATTATGAGTGGACTCTTCTCTAAATGTGTCGTTGCAGATTGTTCACAGTGTGTGTGTGTGTGTGTGTGTGTGTATGATTAATTCTTCACACTTTTTCCTAATGTTGATACTGCCTGAAGTTCAAACTTCAGACATAAAGCATAAGATCTTAGTCACTGCCTGGAAAGCAAATGACAAACACGACCAACCTTATTGTGCGGTGGCTGTATCTGAAAATACCTGTCCTCCATCCGCCATGGACTACAGAGAGCACAGAGACGTTTATTATATCTTCACTTAAGATCAGATTTCGTAGGAAAAGGTATATTTGGTGGTATTGATTTTGGCTATATTCTGAGATAATCTATAGGAAGGCTTTGGGTATGATGACTTCCTTTGTAGTTTTATCAAAGCATTATAGTAATTATAATTTGAAAATGACTAGATGAAAAATATCTAACCATTGGATCGGAACTGTGATCAAGACTGGAATCATCGTCTCCTAACTCCTGCAAAAATCCTTTCATCCACTCCACCTTGCCTCAGGGTGGTAGCACTTTCCCATCTGCCGCTTTATGAATCCACTGACACAGTCTCTCTACACGGAGAAGATAAAGTGTTTGTATAATATAACGCCATCCTGGCTCTAGGAACGAGTTTTCAGACAGAAATCCATGGCAGACACTGCGGCTTAACCTTTTAAACGTGAACACTGAGTGCTCAGAACAGTTAAGAGGGCACTCATCCCAGAGGGTCAGGTGCCCAGGTAGAGGTGCCATTCAGGCACCACATCCTTTCCTCACTCAACCTCTGCAAGTGCTTGAAATGGCTGTACAACTTTTCTGTTACATTAAAGCAGGCCAATATAATTTCCATTTATGTCAACAGTGCTCTGGACTTTCCAGCTTAGAAAGCATGAGGACCGCATTCTGGAAGATGGCTCCAACAGCAAGTGATGCTGACACCGTGGAAATCCTGTCAAAGGCAAACTAGAGTCAGCCACTCTCCGCTTATGCCCTCAGCCCAGAAACCATGGGCTTTCTTTTCTCATTTCCTGAGATTCTGAGATTCTTCCAGGTCTGCTGGGATTCCCTTCCATCTTATTAATGGTCTCAAAGAAATAGTTATCCCATGTAGCCAATTACTGAGGCTAGACCATCTTTGAAGGCTGGTGTTAAGAGGGTGGCATTTTCTGGTTACATGTGGAACACTCCATCTCTGTTAACTATGGATTTGGCTACTGACCCAAAGTTATCTTCATGCATTTAAGCTATTTGTGTCCTTGGTGCCTGGGATGCTGAAAGGACCATGGATTCTTTATCTCTTGACTCCTTATGGTCCAACTACAGTTAGTTGGGAAGGCAATAAAAAATATGCCCCTGGTGTATAAGTCGCACCAAGTCAGGGCATGTTGTATGGTTCATTGTTGCGTTCTAAGTGATTAGAAAGTACCTGGCAGTCACTGAGCCCTCAAGGATCACAGGCAAACAACTTTAGCCTATGTGGACAATGGGATGGAAAGGGAAGATGCCAGGATCAGGCAGGAGATACAGGGCGTGAGAATACACACAAGTTCCTTCTGGTTCTTCTGGGTGCACTGCACTTTCTAGGTGAAGCAGAAAAAATGTCAGGTCTCTTGCAGTAATTTTTATACTGCAAGAAAATTAGTTTTGTAGAGCTGGAGGTAATATTGGTCTCATTTAATTTAGTTTTTACTTTTAGTTTTTGAGAGCCTCTCACGTAGCCCGGGCTGGTCTCAACTCCTTGTGCAGCTGAAGACGGCCTTGAACTTCTGATCCTCTTGCTTCTACATCCCCAGAGCACTATTCTGCCTGGCTTTATACAGTGCTGGGGTTTGAATCCGGAGCTTCATGCATGGCACGCAAGCACTCTACCAACTGATCTATAACCACAGCCTTTTGTTCTCATTTTATAGAAGGGAAACAGAAGGCTTGACCTTGGACCTGGACTTGGTTCTTCCAGTTCCAACTTCGCTAATCTTTTCTCATCCCTATATTGAGAAAGCCCAGATATATTTTCAAAACTTCAAATCTGGTTTACCTCAGGACACTTTTATTCTGACTATGGTATCAAGGAAAGTTTAATGCTAATGAGCAGGATGTCTTTTGTAAATGCAAGCCCATTAAAATTAGAGTTCACTGCAGAGTCAATGGGGGTTCCCCCCATGTAATTTTTGCTTATTTTAATAACAAAAAATACACAAACACAGTTACAAATGTGATAAACGTGAGACAGTCTGGGGTCAGCAGCTGAAGAGGAAAGAGGTGTGAGCACGTACACACATGCCTCAAAACACACTGGGGCAAGCCATCCTAGAACACCTGCATGGTCCTGGAGGGCCACAGCCCCTATACTCTAAGACATTGGGGCTGTGAGACGGCTCAGTGCATAAAGATAGCTGCTATGCAAGCCTGGCATCCTGAGTTTGATCTCTGGAATTGCCATGAAGGTGGAAGGAGAACCAACTCCAGAAAATGGTCATCTGGCTTCTATACTTAGGCTGTAAGGCATGTAAACACACACACACACAAATGCACATGCACACCCACTATTAGAATAATCTATAGACTTCAGTGTCCTGCTTCCATTTCTCATTCTCATCTGACCACTCTACCATCCTTATTAACAGTACCTACTGAAGTTCTGCTTGTTTTAGTTGTGTAACCTGAGGACACGAGCTGGTTTTAGTATTATGAGGTGATACTTCTGAAAGTAAATTTACCTTTCCCCTTCATCTCCTTGCTTTCTAAATATGATAATCCTTTTAAAAAGGTGCTCCATAGCGGCAGTCCTCATGCATTACTCATAAATCTCTGAAGCACTTGTACCTTAAATATATATATATTTATATATATATAAGGTACAAGAATACCACGTGGGCTGTAGTTAAAGGGAAGAAAAAAGCAGAGGAAGCAGAAGAAGGTGGAGTAGAAAAGAAGGAAGGAAGAAAGAAAGAAAAGAAGGAAGGAAGGAAGGAAGAAAAAAGGAAGGAAGAAGGAAGAAAAGAAGGAAGGAAGAAGGAAGAAAAGAAGGAAGGAAGAAAATAAAACAAAACATTGCCCAAGCAAAATCAAGGCTCCCAGATTTGAAGAAGGGAGCAAACATCCTCTCCGTGAAGACTCTAATAGTGCAACACACACAGTGGAATTCATCAGCCCCTCCTTCTAGCTCAGACCTGGGGTAGCTAAACCTAGAGCAGAATTTACTGGGATAGCCTGGGAAGGACGTGGAAGATTTTGCAGAGGGAGAAAGGAAGCTCATGGTATAGAGAGAGAAAGAAGAAGGTGGCTGGGCCTGGAGAATAAATAATAAGTCTTGGCCTCAGGTTCCCTTGCTCCTACACTGGACACCAGCTGGTCTCACCTGGTCCACCCACTCTGATAACAAGAGATCATTGCGCCACCATTTCTGCCCTTGTGCTGTTGAGCTCACACAAGGCAGCAAGTGAGACCTTGAAAAAAGTCCACCAATATGTTCACCAAAAAAGTGACCATCTAAGTTACCTTCAGAGTTATTCTGTTCTCCTTTGGCTGGCCTGAGAATAGTACTGTTTTTCATTTTGTGCAAAAAGCAGTGGCTGAAGCACTTGGACTTTCCGGCACTTGACCATTCTGTCCCCAGACTGTCTGTCTAGTTTGGG